CGCGGTCTTTGGCAGGCGGCCCGACTGTTGGAGACGATTCCTCCCGTCCTTCCTTTCCCTTCGGAAGTGCTGAGTGCTGAGGAGCGTCTCCTTCGTCTCTCAAGGACGACTTTTTTGAAAACGCTAAAAATATTCCATGGCTTTGCCGGGAGTTCTTCGACCTTTTGTGCCTTTCTGCAGCGAGCGCTTCTTCCTCTCGGACTGAACTGGGCCGCCTCCAAAACCCTCTTTTCCAGGAATATAAGACGTAGTTCAAAGGGTTGCTTCAAGTCTTCTGCGAGATCATGATCGTGCGGACATCCCAAAATTATTACGTATCAAAGCTACTGATCGATTGGTTGATATAAACACAGGGACTCAAAGTGGCGCCCAATCAAAAACATTGCGACTTCAAATATGCAACGATAAAACAGCATTATGACTATACTAGCTGTGCCCTGCCACGTGTTGCTGTGGCCTATAGTAAATCTTTTCAAAGTACAGGTCTTGACTATTATGAAAGAGAGGTGCCTACCTATTCCTTCCCCTTTTCCTCCTCCTTTCTCTCCTTTCTTCCTTCTCTACCTCTTTCTTTCTTTCACTACTTGGTTTCATCCTTCTCTCTTTCCTTCATTCCCTCCCCCTTTCTTCCTTTGCCTTTCTTCCCTCCCTGTTTGCTTCCTTCTTTCACTTTTTATTTCCTTTTATTTCACCACCATCATAACAATAACAATTTTTTGAGTTTTGTTGTTTTGCCGTTTTTTGAGTGTGTTGTGTTGTTTTTCATTTTGAGTAGATATGTTTGTACCTTGTGGGTTGTGTTATGGGCATGGGAATTTTGGTGAAGTTTCGTTGGGTTTTTTTAGTTTTGTTGTTTTGTCGTTTTGTGAGTGTGTTGTTGTGTTGTTTTTCATTTTGAGTAGATATGTTTGTACCTTGTGGGTTGTGTTATGGGCATGGGAATTTTGGTTAGTTTCGTTGGGGGGTTGTGGAGTTTTGCTGTCCCGTTGAACCAACCTAACAGATTTATATATATAGATATGTATTATCCATAGTATTGGGAGGCTGCGGTGGCGCTGCGGGCTAATAATAATAATAATAATAATAATAATAATAATAATCTTTATTTATACCCCACCACTTTCTCCGCAATGGGGACTCGGGGCGGCTTACGTGAGGCCAAGCCCAATCAACAGATTAAACCGCCGAGCTGCTGAATTTGCTGGCCAAAATGTCAGCAGTTTGAATCCGGGGAACGGAGTGAGCTCCTGCTGGACCAAACTTGGCACAAGCACTCAATACGCCCAAATATGATCACTGGTGGAGTTTAGGGAAAATAGACCTTGACATTTGGGAGTTGTAGTTGTTGGGATTTATAGTTCACTCACAATCAAAAGGGCATATTGAGTATTCGTGCCAAGTTTGGTCCATATCCATCAATGTTTGAGTCCACAGTGCTCTCTGGATGTAGGTGAACTACAACTCCCATACTCAAGGTCAATGACCACCAAACCCTTCCAGTATTTTCTGTTGCTCATGGGAGTTCTGTGTGCCATGTTTGGTTCAATCCCATTATTGGTGGAGTTCAGAATGCTCAATGATTGTAGGTGAACTATAAATCTCAACTACAACTCACAAGCTTTTAAGCAGAGACTGGATGGCCATTTGTCAGGGGTGATTTGAATGCAATATTCCTGCTTCTTGGCAGGGGGTTGGACTGGATGGCCCATGAGGTCTCTTCCAACTCTTTGATTCTATGATTCTATGATTCCTCCAAACTCCATCTGTGTTCATATTTGGGCATATGGAATATTTGTGTCAAGTTTGGTCCAGATCCATCATTGTTTGAGTCCACAGTGCTCTCTGGATGTAGGTGAACTACAACTCCCAAACTCAAGGTCAATGCCCACCAAACCCTTCCAGTATTTTCTGTTGGTCATGGGAGTCCTGTGTGCCAAGTTTGGTTCAATTCCATCATTGGTGGAGTTCAGAATGCTCTTTGATTGTAGGTGAACTATAAATCCCAGTAAGTACAAATCCCAAATGTCAAGGTCTATTTCCTCCAAACTCCATCTGTGTTCATATTTGGGCATATGGAATATTTGTGTCAAGTTTGGTCCAGATCCATCATTGTTTGAGTCCACAGTGCTCTCTGGATGTAGGTGAACTACAACTCCCAAACTCAAGGTTGATGCCCCACCAAACCCTTTCCAGTATTTTCTGTTGGTCATGGGAGTTCTGTGTGCCAAGTTTGGTTCAATTCCATCGTTGATGGAGTTCAGAATGCTCTTTGATTGTAGGCGAACTACAAATCCCAGCAACTACAACTCCCAAATGACAAAATCATAATTTTTTGAGTGATGGTCACTCCTTGTATTGTGAGACATTTTGTTGCCAAATTTGGTGTGATTTCATTCATTGGGTTTTTTTTGTTTTTAAGGTACTAATTATGCAAAGAGCATTTTTATATATATAGATATACACACATATATATACACACACACACACACACAAAACACATATAAACAGACTGGGCCACAGCAACGCCTGGCAGGGGACAGTTAGTATACACACACACACACACACACACACACACACTCCTTTTTCGGAAAACAGGCGAAGATGGCGCCCCTCCTTGGCCGGCTAATCTCTCCTTCCCGCTTATCATCTCTTGGCATTCAGACGCAGAGGCTGAGCTCCTTGTTTGGCTCTTTGCTCACAAAACAGTGTAAAGTTCCATGCATGCCGATGACCCCGCACGGGCGGGCGCCATAAATACTTCTGGGCCATCTCCGGGTCTGGCTCCCCGTCTCATTCCCATTGGCCGTATCATCCTGCGCAAGCCCTTGACTGCCGTGCCCGACCTGCCGCCCTTCCTGAAACCGGCTTGCAAAGCAAACAAGGCGACCGCCCCGACCTGATGATTTATTTGCTTTGCGCTGTTTACATTTGGGACTCGAGGGCGAGAGGAGTGGCGGAACAGCAAAGTCACACAATGACGCTTTTGAGAAGAAAACAAAGCCTCTCCAGCCACGGCAGAGAAGACGTCGGCCACCATCTCCCCAGAAATGTCTCCGTACTCATGACTACATTGCAACCGTTCCTCAAGTCTTTCCAAAGTATCACAAAGTTTTCCGTATCGCAACTATTACGCTGTAACAATTTTCCATTAGTTTGTATTGTCGAAGGCTTTCATGGCCAGAATCACTGGGTTGTTGTATGTTTTTTCGGGCTATACAACCATGTTCTAGAAGCATTCTCTCCTGACGTTTCGCCTGCATCTATGGCAAGCATCCTCAGAGGTAGTGAGGTCTGTTTGGAACTAGGAAAAAGGGTTTATATATCTATGGAAAGACGAGGGTGGGACAAAGGACTCCTGTCTGCTGGAGCTAGGTGTGAATGTATTAACTGACCACCTTGATTAGCATTGCCTGGAGCAATCTTTTGTTGAGAGGTGATTAGATGTACCTGATTGTTTGGTTGTGAGGTCTGTTGGAACTAGGAAAAAGGGTTGATATATCTATGGAAAGACCAGGGTGGGACAAAGGACTCTTGTCTGCTGGAGCTAGGTGTGAATGTTTTAGCTGACCACCTTGATTAGCATTGCCTGGAGCAATCGTTTGTTGAGAGGTGATTAGATGCCCCTGATTGTTTGGTTGTGAGGTCTGTTGGAACTAGGAAAAAGGGTTGATATATCTATAGAAAGATCAGGGTGGGACAAAGAACTCTTGTCTGCTGGAGCTAGGGGGTGAATGTTTTAACTGACCACCTTGATTAGCATATAATGGCCTGACAGTGCCTGGAACAATCTTTTGTTGAGAGGTGATTAGATGTCCTTGATTGTTTTCCCTCTGCTGTTTTGCTGTTTTAATTTTAGAGTATTTTTTTTAATACTGGTAGCCAGATTTTGTTCATTTTTTTTTGTTTAGAGGTGATTAGCTGGTCCTGATTGTTTCTTGTCTGGAGTTCCCCTGTGTTTGAGTTTAACTCTTTATTTACTGTTCTAATTTTAGAGTTTTTTTAATACTGGTAGCCAGATTTTGTTCATTTTTTTGTTTAGAGGTGATTAGCTGGCCCTGATTGTTTCTTGTCTGGAGTTCCCTTGTGTTTGAGTTTAGTTCTTTATTTACTGTTCTAATTTTAGAGTTTTTTTTAATACCGGGAGCCAGATTTTGTTCATTTTCTTGGTTCCCTCCTTTCTGTTGAAATTGTCCACGTGCGACTGAACGAATAAACAACAACAAAATCATAACCATAAATAAAGAACAAAACTCAAACACAGAGGAACTCCAGACAAGAAACAATCAGGAACAGCTAATCATGTCTCAAGGAAAGATTCCCCCAGGCAGTAACAAGCCAGACCTAAAAACTGCCAGGACATCAAATGCTAATCAAGGTGACCAATTGAAACATTCACACCTAGCTCCAACAGACAAGAGTTCTTTCTCCCTCCCTGGACTTTCCATGGATATATAAATCCAATTTTCCTAGTTTCCAACATACCCCTCAACCTCCGAGGATGCCTGCCATAGATGTGGGTGAAACATCAGGAGAGAATGCTTCTGGAATATGGCCAGGGAGCCCAGAAAACACAAAACAACCCAATATTATTGTAAAATAAAACAACAAGAGCGATCTCCTTGAATTTTCTCCACAACGACACAAGACAACAGGAGATCAATCCCCAGAAGTTTCAGAAAGATTTATACAACTATTGATTTTTGAAATTTTTGACGAAAACACCTCTAATATATCCATCCATCCATCCATCCATCCATCCATCCATCCATCCATCCATCCGTCTATGAATATTGTTCCCTATTCAGATCAGATAGCTCTTCTTCCAATCTACGTTATCCAAAGCATACAAAATTCTCATCCACCGTCATAATCCACATCCAGTTGATGAGAGAGTGAAGTCATCACGACATGCACCCGGACGGGAGAGATCTCCGGGCCATTCCGTGCACCAAAGAGAAGAGACACGCTGCGCATGGAGGACGGCGCATTCGGCTACTCACCCAGTTCTTTAGAAACAGGCGACGCGACGGCAATGTCTCCGATTTTGGCGACGCCGTCGTAGTAGGACCTCCCCGCCAGGATCATCGCTAAAGAAAGGAGACACGACACATTGGAATATCCATATCTCTAGAAATAAAAATGTCATGCTCGTTTGTGGGATTAACAGAACTCAAAGACCACTGGGGGAATTGACACCGGATTTGGACACAAGGCACCTCTCAGGCCAATGTATGTCCTTCACTCAAAAAATTGATTTTGTCATTTGGGAGGTGGAGTTGCTGGGATTTATAGTTCACCTACAATCAAAGAGTATTCTGAATCCCACCAACAGTGGAATTGAGGTAAACATGGCACACAGGACTCCCACGCTCAACAGAAAACACTAGAAGGGCTTGGTGGGCATTGACCTTGAGTTTGGGAATTATAGTTCACCTACATCCTGAGATCACTGTGGACTCAAACAATGATGTATCTGGACCAAACTTTGCATGAATACGCAATATGCCCAAATGTGGACACAGGTGGAGTTTGGTGGAAATAGACCTTGACATTTGAGAGTTGTAGTTGCTGGGATTTATAGTTCGCCAAACTCCATCAGTGCTCATATTTGGGCATACTGAGTATTCGTGCCACGTTTGGTCCAGATCCATCATTGTTTGCATCCACACTGCTTTCTGGATGTAGGTGAACTACAACTCCCAAACTCAAGGTCAATGCCCACCAAACCCTTCCAATATTTTCTGTTGGTCATGGAAGTTCTGTGTGCCAAGTTTGGTTCAATTCCATCATTGATGGAGCTCAGAATGCTCTTTAATTATAGGGGAACTATAAATCCCAGCAATTACAACTCCCAAATGACAAAATCATAATTTTTTGAGTGATGGTCACTCCTTGTGTTGTGAGACATTTTGTTGCCAAATTTTGTGCGATTTCTTTAATTGGTTCTTTGGTTTTTAAGGTACTCATTATGCATGCAGCATTTATATAGATATAGATATACGCATACATATATATAATTAATTGGAAATTCCTGGGGCAGAAAAGGAGAATGGTTGGAATAACATAAAAGTTTAGATTGTGCTACTATATCATAATCTCTATAAATAAAAATGTCATGTTCGTTTGTGGGATTAACATAACTCAAAAACCACTGGACAAATTGACACCAAATTTGGACACAAGGCACGTATCAGGCCAACGAGTGACCATCACTCATAAACACACTGAAAAACACAGCGAAAGGGACTTAAAAAGTCAAAAAATATATTACAATGCATGCGCATAACCACACATATACACAACTATATATACACACACTTACACACAAAACACATATACACAGACTGAGCCACAGCAATGCGTGGCAGGGGATGGCTAGTTCAATAATAAATAATAACAATGGTAATATTCTCCCTAAGCAAGCGATGATTGCAACGGCATGAAGTGGTGGGGATAATCAGCAACGGCTTCACGTGGAGCAACCCTTGGCAACACGCCTATCCTTCCCCCACATGAACCTATGAGGGGGTCATTTTCCTGTCCAGACAGCCAAAGTGAATCACTGCGCAATAAGGGCCGAGAGGCACACAAAGCCCTGCGCAGGCGGGTTCCCTCCCACTTGGTACATGAGCTTGACATGTACCGAAGGCAGTTGCAAGATGGTTATCAGAGTACACGGAACGTCTATGCAAACGGCCGCGTCTCGTTCCAGACGGGTGACTTGTTCGGTATGTGCGGCCATGATGACTCAGTCCCATTGCGCAATCGGTGACTCCGTTTCCATGCAGCCACAACAGGCATGGCCAAAATATTACATTATATTATATATTATATTATTTCACTATTATTATTATACTATTATATTTTTATTATACTCAGACCGGCTTATTATATTATTATATTGTTATTGTTATTATTTCATTATTATATTACTAGCCGTACCCTGCCACACGTTGCTGTGGCCCTCATCGGGGTTCTGTGTGGGAGGTTTGGCCCAATTCTATCATTGGTGGGGTTCAGAATGCTCTGTGATTGTAGGTGAACTATAAATCCCAGCAACTACAACTCCCAAATGTCAAGATTCTATTTCCCCAAACTCCACCAATGTCCACATTTGGGCATATTGAGTATTTGTGTAGAGTTTGGTCCAGATCCATCATTGTTTCAGTCCACAGGGATCTCTGGATGTAGGTGAACTACAACTCCCAAACTCAAGGTCAATGCCCACCAAACCCTTCTAGTTTTTTCTGTTTGGTCATGGGGGTTCTGTGTGGGAGGTTGGGCCCAATTCTATCGTTGGTGGAGTTCAGAATGCTCTTTGATTGTAGGTGAACTATAAATCCCAGCAACTACAACTCCCAAATGTCAAGTTCTATTTTCCCCAAACTCCATCAGTGTTCACATTTGGGCATATTGAATATTCGTGCCAAGTTTGGTCCAGATCCATCATTGTTTGAGGCCACAGTGATCTCTGGATGGAGGTAAACTACAACTCCAAATCCAAAGAACACTGCCCACCAAACCCTTCCAGTTGGTCATGGGAGAACTGTGTGCCAAGTTTGGTTCAATTCCATCATTGGTGGAGTTCAGAATGCTCTTTGATTGTAGGTGAAGTATAAATCCCAGCAACTACAACTCCAGAATAACAAAATCAATTTTTTTGAGTGAAGGATATACATTGGCCTGATAGGTGTGTCTTGTGTCCAAATTTGGTGTCAATTCATCCAGTGGTTTTTGAGTCTGTTAATCCCACAAACGAACATTACATTCTTATTTATATATTTATATCTATATAAATAAAAATGTAATGTTCGTTTGTGGGATTAACAGTAACTCAAAAACCACTGGACGAATTGACACCAAATTTGTTCAGGCCAATTTATGTCCTTCACTCAAAAAAACACTGAAAAACACAGCAGAAGGGGCTTAAAAAGCCAAAAAATAAAATATATATATATATATATTACAATACGTGCACAAAACCACATGTATTCATATATATGCAAACACACATATTTACACATATACACAAATATATTATTATTATTATTATTATTATTATTATTATTATTATTATTATTATTATTATTACTTTGTACCCCGCTAGCATCTCCCGAAGGATTCGATGCGGCTCACAACAGGCCGAAGCCCAACACAATACAACAATACAATATCTAGCAAATAAAAACAGTTAAGCAGAAAAACAATAACAATGGCAATACGGCAAGACATTCTTCAAAACGGAGTCGGCCGGAGTAGGGCACAAGGTTACAAGTGCTGATGTGTCGGAGGGGTGTGGGATTATGATAGAAGTGCGGTGTGCGGTGACCTTGGTAACTAAAGTGCTTCTGGGATTTGGTAGTGGGAGATTCCTAATCTGAAAAGGCACATTGGAACAGCCAGGTTTTCAAATTCTTTCTGAAGACTGCCAGTGTAGGGGCTTGTCTGAGATCTTTCGGGAGGGCGTTCCAGAGGCGGGGGGCCACCACAGAGAAGGCCCTGTCTCGCGTCCCCACCAAGCGCTTGTGACGCGGGCGGAATCACGAGCAGGGCCTCTCCAGATGACCGGAGTGAGCGTGTGGGTTCGTAGACAGCGATACGGTCACGCAGGTAGGGTGGTCCCAAACCGTTCAGGGCTTTGTAGGTAAGCACCTGCACCTTAAATTGGGCTCGGAAAATAAACGGCAGCCAGTGGAGCTCCTTAAACAGGAGGTTGACCTCTCTCTGTAATGGGCCCCAGTTAACATCCTGGCTGCTGCCCGTTGGACCAGTTGGAATTTCCGAGCCGTTTTCAAGGGCAGCCCCACGTAGAGCGCATTGCAGTAATCCAGTCTAGAGGTGACTAGGGCATGGACCACCCCGGCCAGATCAGCCTTCGCGAGGTACGGTCGTAGCTGGCGCACAAGTCTCAGTTGTGCAAAAGCCCTCCCGGTCACCGCCGACACCTGAGCCTCAAGCGTGAGCGATGAATCCAAGAGGACTCCCAAACTGCGGAGCTGTGATATACACACACACAAAACTCACATACACAGACTTGGCCAACACATGACAGGGGATGGCTAGTAATATTATAATATAATATAATAATATTATAATAGTATAATTACCAGCTGTGAGGAATTGTAGGAGTTGAAGTCCAAAACACAATGAAGCCTAAGAGCCGGTATTATAGTATTATTATTATTATTATATTTCATAATATAATTTTATTTATATTTCATACTATTATTATTTTAATAAGATTATATTTAATTATATTGTATTATTATATCATGTTATCTTAGGCCTGATCTACAAGAACGTTTTGCTTCACCTTTTCTCCGAACGTTTCAATGTCAGCGCTTGCAAAAACATCCTAAACAGTTCTGTATCATAATCCTAATAAATACCTTATTATTCAAACTTCCGTATACCTATCGCGTTGGAAGGAGCTTCGTTTTGAGGCGCTCGTCACACATTCACAATATAAGATAGATTACGTAAGTAAGTTGGGGAGGCTTACCGCTGACGGCCTTTTCATAGTTCTTGCCCAGGTTTATTAAATTCCGCAGCCCGGGATTGAACTGTTCCATAACATTCTGGGAAAGAAGAACAAAACACACACAGAGAGAGCATTACACTTCTACACGCAACTTCATGTGAAACAACCCGAAATGATCTATATAAACACCTGGCAAGATGAATCCAGACAAAGTGAAGTGGTGTGGCTTTTAGTATTTTAGTACACAGGTATTGCATTGCATAATAGTCGCATCCCCTTTCCAGAGTCCCATTTTCAGTATTTAACGTTCCTCACATAATAGTCACACCTCCTTTTCAGACTCCAAAGTTCTGTATTCCTCGCATAATACTCACACCCTTTTTTCAGGGTCCCATTTTCACTATTTATGATTCCTTGCATAATAGTCACACACCTCCTTTTGAGGGTCCAATTTTTTGCTATTTTACAATTTTTCACATAACAGTCACACCTCCTTTTCAGACTCCAAAGTTCTGTATTCCTCGCATAATACTCACACCCTTTTTTCAGGGTCCCATTTTCACTATTTATGATTCCTTGCATAATAGTCACACACCTCCTTTTGAGGGTCCAATTTTTTGCTATTTTACAATTTTTCACATAACAGTCACACCTCCTTTTCAGACTCCAAAGTTCTGTATTCCTCGCATAATACTCACACCCTTTTTTCAGGGTCTCATTTTCACTACTTATGATTCCTCGCATAATAGTCACGCACCTCCTTTTGAGGGTCCAATTTTTTGTTATTTTACAATTCCTCACATAATAGTCACACCTCCTTTTCAGACTCCAAAGTTCTGTATTTTATGATTCCACAAATAATAGTTGCACCTTCTTTTCAGGGTCCCATTTTCAGTATTTTAGTATTTCTCACATGATAGTTGCACCCTCTTTTCAGTATCCCACTTTCACTATTTTATTATTCCTCACATAATAGTCGCATTCCCTGCTCAGGGCCCCATTTAAAATATTTTAGCATCCTTTGCAAAATAGTCGCACCTCCCTTTCAGGGTCCATTTTTTTTGGTATTTTACAATTCCTCACATAATAGTCGCACCTCCTTTTCGGACTCCAAAGTTCCGTATTTTATGATTCCTCAAATAATACTTGCACCTTCTTCTCAGGGTCCCATTTCCAGTATTTTAGTATTTCTCACATGATAGTTGCACCCTCTTTTCAGGATCCCATTTTCACTATTTTATTATTCCTCACATAATAGTCGCACCCCCTGCTCAGGGTCCCATTTTAAGTATTTTAGCATCCTTTGCAAAATAGTCGCACCTCCCTTTCAGGGTCCAATTTTTTGGTATTTTACAATTCCTCACATAATAGTCGCACCCCCTGCTCAGGGCCCCATTTTAAGTATTTTAGCATCCTTTGCAAAATAGTCGCACCTTTGCAAAATAGTCGCACGGTATCTTTCTGGGACGCCTCGCGGGAATGGGTCTTGGAGGGACTGTTTTACAGTGGCTCCGCTCATTCCTTGAGGGCCGGTCTCAGAAGGTGTTACTGGGAGACTCCTGTTCAACCCCACAACCTTTGTCTTGTGGGGTTCCTCAGGGTTCAATATTGTCTCCCATGTTGTTTAACATCTACATGAAGCCGCTGGGGGAGATCATCCGGAGTTTCGGGGTACGGTGTCATCTGTAAGCGGATGATGTCCAACTCTGTCACTCCTTTCCACCTGCTACTAAGGAGGCTGTCAGGTCCTGAACCGGTGCTTGGCCGCTGTGTCGGTCTGGATGAGGGTGAACAAATTGAAACTCAATCCAGACAAGACAGAGGTACTCCTGGTCAGTTGGAAGGCCGAACAGGGTATAGGGTTACAGCCTGTGTTGGATGGGGTCGCACTCCCCCTGAAGACGCAGGTTCGCAGCTTGGGTGTGATCCTGGACTCATCGCTGAGCCTGGAACCCCAGGTTTCGGCGGTGACCAGGGGAGCATTTGCACAGCTAAAGCTTGTGCGCCAGCTGCGCCCGTACCTGGGGAAGTCTGACTTGGCCACGGTAGTCCACGCTCTGGTTACATCCCGTTTAGACTACTGCAACGCTCTCTATGTGGGGTTGCCTTTGAAGACGGCTCGGAAGCTCCAACTAGTCCAACGTGCGGCAGCCATGATACTAACAGGAGCGGAGCGCAGGAGCATACAACTCCTCTGTTGCACCAGCTCCACTGGCTGCCGATATGCTACCGGGCTCAATTCAAAGTGCTGGCGTTGGCGTTTAAAGCCCTAAACGGTTCTGGCCCAACTTATCTATCCGAACGTATCTCAGCCTATCAGCCCGCCAGGACCCTAAGATCTTCTGGGGAGCCCTGCTCTCTATCCCGCCTGCTTCACAGGTGCGGCTGGCGGGGACGAGAGACAGGGCCTTTTCTGTGGTGGCCCCTCGGCTCTGGAACGCCCTTCCCATGGAGGTAAGATCAGCCTCCTCGCTGATGGTATTCCGAAGAAGACTAAAAACTTGGATGTTCAAGCAGGCATTTGGTTAATTCGGTGCAATGAATGTAATGATTAAAGGATTGGTAATATGGACGACGAAACTGGATCACGATTTTAGTCAGGAGATGCATTGGATTGTTATTGATGTGCGAATATTGTGTATCATGCTTTTATGGTTTTAAATTGTATACTGTTGATTGTTGTATTTTGTTGTAAACCGCGTTGAGTCGCCGGCTAGGCTGAGAAACAGCGGTATACAAGTATAGCAAATAAATAAATAATAAATACTTCCCTTTTAGGGTCCAATTTTTGGTATTTTACAATTCCTCACATAATAGTCACACCTCCTTTTCAGACTCCAAAGTTCTGTATTTTATGATTCCTCAAATAACAGTTGCACCTTCTTTTCAGGGTCCCATTTTCACTATTTATTATTCCTCACATAATAGTCGCACCCTCTTTTTGGGGTCCCATTTTCACTATTTTATCATTCCTCACATAATAGTTGCACACTCTGCTCAGGGACCCATTTTAAGCATCCTTTGCAAAATAGTCGCACCTCCCTTTCAGGGTCCAATTTTTGTTATTTTACAATTCCTCACATAATAGTTGCATTAGTGCATGACTCATGAGAATACAACCAGTCTGCCCAGAGATCAACAATGCATTAGCTTACATCCTGGATTGTATTTTTTACATCCTGGAGCTTGCAATGGGCACATTAGCCAAAGGATCCTACAAACGCTTTGCAAAGGAGTTTTATTTTTAAAGGGAAATGACAAATAATAATAGATGACACCATAGACACAGCAAGGACGCGGCCCTAAAAATACCTCCTGCCTGCAGGAAATATATATATATATATATATATATATATATATATATATATACATACATACATACATAGTCCCGTTACTCTTGCAACCAGACACACTCAGATGGACATCATTGATTGGCACAGCAGAAACAATACCATGACTGGCATTAATGGAGCGCGAAATATGGGGAGAAAAATCAGAAATGAACCTTATTTAATTATTCCACACCATTTAATGTGCATTTTCAACGAAAAAAGCGTCCAACTTCTGTAATCATTTCAATTATAATATAATGTCAAGTGAATGCAACTTTAGGTGCAAAATACCCAAAGTACTGGTTGTATTTTAATCTTTCATGTGTTTTGTTATGGTTTGTCTTATATTGTTTTAATTGCTATTATTGATTATGTCGACCTCCTTTTCGTCCTGATTTGCCTGTATGTTTTATACCTTCTTAGCCACTTTGATATAAATTTCATAATAATAATAATAATAATATATGAGAATTTTGGGGTGAATCTTGGAATAGTAGAGGCGGCCGCTTGGTGCATCGAGGAAGGGTATTTCAAGAACGTGATGCAACCCGTATGAATAATAGATATGGACGGGAATCCGATGAAGGGACTCTATTTTGGGCAAGCAAGGACTCTGGGAGGAGGAAACATAAACAGGGAGGGGTTTCTGATGGAGTTTCTCCTGCATGGAGGCACAGGGGGGGGGACTAGGTGGCCTTTGGGGGTCCCTTCCAATGCTAGGATTCTACTACTACTACTACTACTACTACTACTATTGCTAACATTGTTAATATTGGGGTCAGACTAGATAACCTTTGGGGGTCCCTTCCAATGCTAGGATTCTATTATTATTATTGTTGTTACTACTACTACTACTACTACTACTACTATTAATATTGGGGTCAGACTAAATAACCTTTGGGAGTCCCTTCCAATGCTAGGATTCTATTATTACTTTACTACTACTACTACTACTACTACTACTATTAATATTGGGGTCAGACTAAATAACCTTTGGGAGTCCCTTCCAATGCTAGGATTCTATTATTACTACTACTACTACTACTACTACTACTACTATTAATATTGGGGTCAGACTAGATAACCTTTGGGGGTCCCTTCCAATGCTAGGATTCTATTTACTACTACTACTACTACTACTAGTGTTATCATTGTTAATATTGGGGTCAGACTAGATAACCTTAGGGGGTCCCTTCCAATGCTAGGATTCTATTACTACTACTACTACTACTACTACTAGTGTTATCATTATTAATATTGGGGTCAGACTAGATAACCTTAGGGGGTCCCTTCCAATGCTAGGATTCTATTATTACTATTATTAGTAATATAGTATTGGGGTTGGACTAGATGGCCCTTGGAGGTCTCTTCCAATGCTAGGGTTCGATTATTATTGTTGTTGTTATTATTACTACTACTACTACTGTTGTTATCATTATTAATATTGGGGTCACTCTAGATAACCTTTGGGGGTCCCTTCCAATGCTAGGGTTCTATTATTATTATTATTATTACTACTACTACTACTACTACTACTATTATTGATATTATTATGTAGGTTGGACTAGATGGCCCTTGGAGGTCTCTTCCAATGCTAGGATTCTATTATTATTATTATTATTATTATTATTATTATTATTATTATGATGATGAAAGTTGGACCAGATGGCCCTTGGAAGTCTATTCCAATGCTAGGATTGTTGTTGTTATTGTTGTTAGCTTTGCATATGTTTTAATGGATTTTAACTGTGGATTTAGAATATTT